AAGCCGTTGATCTACCATGACAAGCTCCAACACCTGCTAGTTCGAATCACAGGCGTTCCAGTCTCTCAAGCTACAATCAGTCGCGAGATGCACATACATTTTGGCCTATCTCATCTGGTCACACGGGGAGTTCATTCTGCGCAGTGCGCCGAGGCCTGAGCCGAATACATGTTCAGGGTGAGTCGGATTCCACCAGAATACATGGTTTTCATTGATAGGTGATTCTTTTATTTGAGTATGATTTTAATAAAGAGCCATTAAGATTATTTTCTTATCATGTTTCCTATCATGTATGAGTCTGGCGTCGTGGGTGGCAATTGTCTTCAAAGGAAGAGCTGGGCTTTGAAAGGTACTCAAACTCTTTGCTGCAAGACCCACCCTGATAAGGACCATTGGACCGTCCTTCCAGCTGTATGTGAACGTGGCATGATTGCGGGAAGGGTCATCCAAGGCCCGGTGGAAAGAGTTCATGCGGAACTCTTCCTTGCTCGTGACCTGGTGAGTCTCTCATCGTAATCTTTTTGCATATCTCATTGGTTAACAATGTTGCTTTTCCATCTGGTCACTAGCTCCCGGTGATGAATCCTTACCCAGGAGTCAACTTGGTCCTAGTCTTGGATAATGCATGTGTGCACCACAGAGGCCTCATTGACCAATTGTGCAAGGACACTGGTGTCCTTTTAGCTTATCTACCCGCCTATTCCCAGAAGGGTGGGATGAGGTCAAAGACAACGCCGAGTACTTACTATCACTTGCAGCAAAGGTTATGATGGATGGTTCAGGCAAGGCACGCAGGTTGGTCCACTGTCTACGGGGCAGGGTGCGTAGGAGTGGTAGTAGCGCAAGATACATAACGGACTTAACGTTATGTGTCCGAACCATCTGGACTAGAGAATTTCTGATACAGAAAATCCTCAGACTTCCAGATACGCTACCACACAATTTGCAAGAGCTCAAACGCTAAACTTTAACGGTACTCAAAGTAAGAAGGTGGTTTCTGCCTAGTGCGGAAACCTAGGGAAACCTACTTCCAAAAACTAGGCACCACCCGGAAAAAATAGGCGAGCACTCTTCATACCGCTGTGCTGGTTGCCTCATTTCACACTCATCTTGTCGGCTCAACCACTACCACCATCCTATTCTGCAAAGTTCAAACCCTCAGTCTCCCTCTCCAAGCTCACCAACAACTCAATTCCCAAGGAAACCCTTTAGCATTCACAAACTCATATCCCTGTTCAACTACAAACACAGGGGCCAAAATTGATGCTCACATGTATGTGAGCGTTGTAGACTTTCTTGAAGTCTCCAAAAAAGATTCATTTTCTTTCAGATTCATTCAATTCACAATTTTGGTTGTGTTCAGGTGATCAGCCTGTTTTGCTCAAATTTTGCTTGACATTTCTTGAGAAGGCTCATTTCCATCTTGGATGAGCAATAACTGAGTCCAGATGAATACTCAGGATCAGCTCATGAGTCACTGAATACTCAGCAATTTGGTCAAAATTACAATGAGCACATGAACTACACCTTCCTCAGGCTTCATTTCTTAGTGAAGGCCTGCACAGGGGCCGTCCCATTTGATATGCTCAGGATATACTCAGTATCATCCCCTGGCTGGGTCATTGATGGGCCATACTTCCTTGCTAAGGAATGAAACCTCATAAAAGAGCCATCCCCCTGCTCAGTTTATCTCAGCCGCTCAGCTAATCCTAAGTGATGTCCCCTGGATAAAGCTGCTCACACTGAGGGGCTGAGATCAACTGAGCAGCCCCTCAGCTAGTCCTCTGTGACATCCTTTGGACCCTTCTGATCCCAGGAATGCCCCTGAGGACTAGCTGAGCAGCTGAGCAGCCCCTCAGCCAATACTCAGTGACATCCTTTGGATCCTTCTCCCAGGAATGCCCCTGAGGACTAGATGAGCAGCCCCTCAGCCAATGAGCAGTGAAATCCTTTGGATCCTTCTGATTGAGGAATGCTACTGAGGGATAGCTGAGCAGATGGGCATCAGGCTTCATTCTGGAGCCATGAAGCCTGAGGAAAGGCTGGACCTATGTGATCCATCCAAGGGATGCTGCGGAGAATTAGTCAAGAGGATACTCAGGTCAGCTCAGCCCCTAAGCTAATCATAAGTGGTGTCCCTTGAAGCCTACTGAACCAGGGAATGCCACTCAGGATCAGCTGAGCAGCTGAGATAACCTGAGCAGATGGATCAGCCCTTCCTCAGACTTCTTTTGCTCAGGAATAAGGCCTGAAGAAGGCCTTAGTTTGTCTGCTCAGTCCCTGTTGATCACATAATCAGATGCAAGCAGAAAGAAATTGGATAGAAAAGGGAAAGAAAAGGGAAAGAAAAGGGAAAGAAAAGGGAAAGAAAAGGGAAAGAAAAGGAAAGCAAAATTGAACAAACATTGAAGAAAACAGAAGAATTTCAACGCTCACACCTATGTGAGCATCTACTTTTGCCCCTGTGAAATTTCAATTCATTCACCTACTCATTCCAAACTTTCAATAGAACAAATTCTAGACTTACCACATTTGACTACAATCTTTTCATTTGGTATACTGATTGATCATCAAGTTGAAGATGAATTTGATTTAAATCAGTCAGAACTCAGTTCAAATTCTTTTGATTTTGATAAGAAGTATTGCTGGTCTAGTCAATTTATTTTCAATCAACTCCTTCAAACCCTGAATTGTTAACGGATACAATGTCGATTCTAAAGTCTTGAGAGTTGTGAAAAACAATTGATTTTGGAAACAATAGGTTGTTCAAAAGGTTTTTTGGTATGATCATCCTTAACCCCATGCAAGCTGTGATGATTGATTGTCTTTAAAAACAATTGCTCGGTCTAGGTTTTTGTCGTGATGTGTTTCTTTTTCTTTTTTGGGTGTCTCTGCAATGAAAATTTGATGTACAAATGAACAGAAGCCTGAGTCAAGAGTGCTCAGTGCAACTCTATGTTGTAGAAAGTGAGAGTTGAAACAATCAATCGTTTCAAAAACCAATCGACCGTTTTTAAATCAAAGGTTGTCATGATCTTGAGGTGAAGGCAGGCATGTAAGGTGACGTAAGATAGAGGAGGATATGCTTGAACCATATCTACAGACAGTTCTTGCCGGAGGCCAATGCAAGGTGTGTGGCAGAGGCCAAAGGTATAATTCAAGTAGAAAAAGGGTCATCAAAGCTACCCAATCACGGAAAACATACTTAGAAAAAAAATCACCGCCAAAAAAATAAAGTAGGTTCTAGGTTCTGAAGTAGGCAGAAACCACCTTTTTACTTTGAGTACCGGTTTTGATCATTCATCAAATTTCAACACACCAAACTAATCAAAGTCAGAAGATTCAAAGTAAATCTAAACTCGCGAAGATATAATTACAATGGTATCAAGTGGAAGCAAAGAACTTTTTCCTGAAAACGAAGACCCAAGGAAGAAACTAAGGGAGTTCAGCAGAGGGCCATCAGGCAATCTAACGGCAAGCAAACCATCGAAACGTCAAACAAGAAGGACTCAAGACGGAAACAACCAAGAACAAGAAGATGAAGACGCCCAAGGTACAAAACCAAAGAAGGTTGTGGTGAAAGGGTATGAGCAAGAACAAAACCACCAATCTGAAGGAGGCCGTGAAGAAAGCTCAGCTATCCGAGCAAGCACCATCAGCCAGAACCCAACGGCGCCAGGCCCGAGACAACAGACGAGCTTGCTGACCATCTCAGAGAACCCACACAACAATTGGCAAGCGGAAGATGACCGTGGAGTGGGGAGGAAAGACCATCAACAGAGCAAGTTCGCTGGAGTACTTAGGTGAAAGACAAAATGAGGCAGAGTCAAGCAAGGATGAGAATTGGGTCCAGCTGAAAAATCAAGATGGAGCCAATGGACAAGGAGGAGATTAGAGAGAAGCTACTATCTGGCTTAATAGCAAGCCCTTCAATAAATAAAGGTAAGGCTTACCACATTCCTAATACTACGTCCTTCCATCTTGCTATCTCGGATCTCCTCGTACCCTCTCCCTTTGTCTTCAATTTTCTATCTGGTCCTCGAGCTATCATGTGTGATCTACTGTGATTTCTTTCCCGAGTGAATGACTAGGATCAAAAAGCAAGAAACCCTATCTATGTGCTGTATGAGCTGCAGTACAGAGTGCCCTCCCCATTCGTCGAGAAATAACCTGACAGAAATAAGAGATTTTCCATCTTAGGTCAGAGGCCCCATACCAGCTATAATGAAAGACAAACATGTCTAGTTCGCCACCCCATAAAGGTGGGAAGGCCCCAGAAAAGTCCCCATATTGGAGCCACGCACAAGAATTTCCTATTACGCCAAAGATAATCCAATCAGATCAAGTTCCCCCCAGAATAGGACAAAGAGCAAGAACTTACAAATATGTTCCATTGTGTCATCCAGGGAAACAGAAAGCACCCCGAGAACCAACAACCAGTACGTCTGGTCCTTCTAGAGAACAAGCGAAAGCGCTACTCAAAATCAGAGACACACTCGACAACAATGACTTCGAGAAACACGCAGAGTTAATGACGACCTACCTGCTATGTTACAATCCGGAGAAGATGAAAGTGATCGCGGTTGAGAGAACATCTACCCAAGAAAAAGGCCACCAACCAAATACGGAAGAACATGGTAACCCCCGACAAGAGACCCTTCATCCGGAGACAAATCCAGTCCCAAAAGACCTCAGAACGGCAACCAGTCAAGAAAACGCGAACAAGAAACAGGTAGAGCCCAAGAAGCAGAAACCAGCAAAGGCAGCCAAAAGGAAAATCCCACTAGGTAGACCGTTATCAGACGATGAAGAAGTAACCGAACCAACCAACAGGGGAGGTGACTTTGTTGAAAACAGGATAGAATTTGCCGATGGGAAAGTCCCTAGCCATCACATGACCCAATTAACGGTGTTCTGAGATAACCAGATTCGAAAAATCAAAGGCTACGTCCCAATTTTGATGTTCAACAAAGCTTGGTTAGAAGCCAACCAAGACATTGAAGGGAAGAAAACATCGAAGAAGAAAAACAAGGATGAAGATGATGATTTGGAAGATGAGAAGTATGAAGGACTTACCTATCCATCCAAACTGCAGGTGACGTATGGAGACTGGGTCACGTGTTTCAACCTATTCTTGGACTGCTTAGAGAAATGGTTCCAATTCAAGAAGTTGGTGAGGAAGTTTGAAGAGCACAAGAGGAATGTGGAGAAGGTGAAAAGTGAGAACGATGACAACTGGATGGTAGTGTTGAGGTATGATATCATGATTAGGAGACAATTATGGACGACTAGAGTTGAAGGAGGGAAAGTCGGTGACCCATCGGTTTGACAAAAACAATTTGAAGAAATTTGAAGAACAAGCAAGACGTACGGTGGATAAGTTCAGGGAGTGGGACTGCCACGACAACCCATACGCCAAGGGTGGGAAGCGACAAGATCAAGCGCCCGAACTGTCAAAAATTGCGGTGAAGGATAAAGGAGAAGTCTCGGAGAAGACTGATAAGAAGGAAGAATCGTCGAAGTGGAAAGAGGACTCACTCTATCCAAAAACCAATAACCGAGGAGGATTCCAAGGAAGGCGCAGGCGAGGAAGAGGTTGAGGTCAAGGCCAAGGTCACTAGTCTGATTATGATTGAAACGACCAATACGAGAAGGAAGACAATAGAGAGATGAATTCACGGTACAGAGGAGACAGATGGTCACCAGGGAGAGACAACAGGCCCAAGTCCCCAATGCGTAGAGCACGATCCCCGCGCAAGTACGTACACGACAATAGACAAGATAGAAGTGACAGAGATGATAGAAGAGATGGCTTCAGGAACAGAAATTGT